GCAGAGAGAAAGAAAGAGTAGGAACGACAGCGCGAGAGCAGGACGGAGCGGAAAACGACAGAGGTAGAAAGAGTAGCTCAAAGGGGCCGCCGCGGGCCCCAGAGGGCTCTGTGAGAAGGCACAAACCCCAATAATAGCACCAGAATTTATATACCTGCACGAACTCGGTGGAACGGTCCCGGGGCTGCGGGTCCACGGACCCAGGGACGGCTTGTTGCAATACAGCCCGAACACAGTGGAGCCATTCTTCCACGATTCATTTTCGTTCTCCGTGTGCGTGTTTAACCTCGATTTACTCCCTCTTTCTTGGTAGAACTCGAGACCGTTTACCAACAGCCGTTCGATCGATTCTGCCGGTTCACGCGCGGTCACTCAACTACATTCGACACCTAGACGCAGCAGCGCGGTGAGGGTCTTGCTCTTGAGTATTGTTTCTAGGTAGGTCGACGAAGAAGATCGATCGAAGAGTATCGAACAAGCGAGCAGAGATTCGGCGTTTAATCTCGTCAACCCGAAAGCTCCGAGTCGAGGTAGATCATCGTCCGATCACGACAAGGAACTTCACGTGTATACCACCTTAGGACTGACCGGCCCTGGACCCCATCAGTGGCGGTCTAGCATCCTCTATACAGAGGGAAGAAGAGCCTGGTAAGGGATTTAGCGGCGCGAGAAAGAGGAACGAACCTGGATGGATGAAGAAGGATGGTCGAAGCGAAAGAAGGATAACGCGAGAGTAGAGAAGCAGCAATTCGTGGCGGGCTGGAGAGCGAACCATCCATCACCGAGGGCTCAAAGCCGTATCTTCTGGTGACCGGTGCCCGCCGCGGCCGATGCTGGATGCCAAAGCACGGCCAAATATTGTGAAAGGTCCAGAAAAGGCAGGAACGTGAAATAAATTTGCTCTGCCAGCGGGGTAAGGAACCGAGACGAGTCAAAGCGTAGCGGGAGCAACGAGGAGAGACGACGAGAGACGTCGAGGATTGGAGAAAGACGAAAGGATGATACTCTTCTGGGTAGCTCAAAAGGTTGCGCCTTGTACTTGTGCGTGTCGAGATGGAGAGAGGAAGAAGGCTCTTTAACCACTGTGTCGGCTCTTTGAACCCTCTTCGTCTTTCTCTTTCCCTCGCAGCGAGTTTCTCTCCTTTCCCTCTTCGTCGCCTCGTCCTCCTCGCGTACACGTCCAGGCGGGAAACTGGCCGCGCGGGTCCAGGAACAGAGAACAGCGCCATTTACATTTTACACGCGAAAATACGCTTTACGGGGCCGGGGCCAATCATCGCGCCCCAGTCCTGACAGTTTATTCGCGTCACGCGCGCACGCTGCCCTCGCGGTCCAGACGAAGAAGAACTGGTACCGTGCGAATCGCCACGGGGAACGCATCTGTTCGCGTGTTTCGACGATAGATTCGCGGCTCGATCCAACTGCGGTTCTTAATTCGTTGAGAAATTCGAGGGACGCCGCAGTGAGAAGGCATCGCCACTTTTATGTAATTTGAATAAATTAAGAAGGGCCAAGCTCGAAGCTCGAATCACAATCAAATTATTTTTTCAAACGTGCCATAACCAACTAATATATATATATGTGTGTGTGTGT